ACTATATTTTCTACTAGAATTGCCCGCGGCTCCGCCCGCGTTCAGATGACCAAAAACCAAATTCTTAGGTTTCACATATTAGTAAATAGTATACTCTCATATTGCAGTTTTTGTATTTTTTCTCAGAAATGAGACATTTTCTCACGGTAAAAAGTATCCTATATGTTGACCCGGATAACCAGCTATCATCATACCAAATTGCATCAAAATACATCCAGGGGTTTTTCTGTGATGCGGTAACAGACAGGCGGACAGACAGATATAAATTCTAAAAACTATTGATTCAGCCTCTGCATCGAAAATAATGTCTATTTTAATACGATTTTCCAAAAAATATTTAATGTACAGATTCGGCTTAGTCACAATTTTATTACATATATAGATAAACGTTTTCCTTTACGTTATTGAGTCGATGGTAGCTACTGACGGTGACTATCTGTCCTTAAAACACGTTTGTCGTTTACGTTTTAATTAAAAATAATTGAAGGTTTTCTTAGCAACTAATAAATTAAAGATAATTTGGTACTTTTTTGACCGACTTCGATGAACAAGATGTTCAATTAGAAGGTAGGTACCAAAAGTTAAAAAAAAATGTTGGGGCATTAACACACAGCACCATCTGGTTCCATGATAAGCTACGAGGCTTGTGTTATGGATACCAGATAGTTGATACACTACACAAATATAACTTTAAATACATACATATCTATATATATAAAAGAAAGTCGTGTTAGTTACTTCGCTTATAACTCAAGAACGGCTGAACCGATTTAGCTGAAAATTGGCAGGGAGGTAGTTTAGAGCCAGGAGAAGGACATAGGATACTTTTTATCCCGTTCGACCGCGTTCCAATTTTTATGATATTTTAATTTTTGGATTTCTCTTAGTCCGGAATAGGTAAGTATTAAAACATATAATTAAAATGTGAGAAAGAAAGATTTTTTCTTTTTATATCTATTTAAAACGTACCTAGCGACGAACCCGAGCGAAGCGAGGGTGAGCCGCTAGTTACAAATATAAACACCCATGACTGGAGTACAGACATTCGTGCTCATCACCACAAATGAATACTCAGCGGAACTCGAACCCGCGACCGCTGGAATAGCAAGTAGGATCATTACAAACTGAGCCAAACGTGTCGTCAACCTGATTCTAAATGTAGACAAATGTGTGTACTTTTATAGTAAAAATATTAATTTGAAAATCTTTACAACTTGACAAAATTTGCTTTGATAATCTTCCAAAGCCAACCTTTAATAATAAATATTGTATTTCTTATTATGAGATTCTAATATAAAAACGTATATTATGGCTATTTACAGATATTGTTCAATCGGGATTTCTTAGAGAGAAAAAGAGTTTTCTTACCACTTAAGCAACAGTGAATAATTGGCGCAATAGAAAACACATACCTAGGGTCCTAGATAGCTGTTCTCACCTACGAGTATCTGCCTGAAAAGGGCACCTAGTAAAATTCAGGCCGTTAAGGCATCACATATTAGGCATAACATGTTATAAAAATAAAATATAATGTGAACGTATAGTCATAGATTTTATATATTAGACAAAGAAACCAACCACATCTATATATATAAAAGAAAGTCGTGTTAGTTACTTCGCTTATAACTCAAGAACGGCTGAACCGATTTAGCTGAAAATTGGCAGGGAGGTAGTTTAGAGCCAGGAGAAGGACATAGGATACTTTTTATCCCGTTCGACCGCGTTCCAATTTTTATGATATTTTAATTTTTGGATTTCTCTTAGTCCGGAATAGGTAAGTATTAAAACATATAATTAAAATGTGAGAAAGAAAGATTTTTTCTTTTTATATCTATTTAAAACGTACCTAGCGACGAACCCGAGCGAAGCGAGGGTGAGCCGCTAGTCATATGAATAAACAAGAAAAGATAACAAGAATCGAGCTAAAAGCAAAATCTTACAAAAAGATTATACTGAAAACGACGATGATGAAGATGAATTGGAATGCCAGTGTGTAATTTATAAGGATATATTCCAACTCGAAATCATAAGTACATTGAATAAATTGTATTACGTAAAAATCTGGGCATATTTGAAATGTATACAAGACCAAAAACCGTCTCATTTCTTTGTCCAAATTGCTAATACGATGATTTGTTTTTTTTCATAGCAAAACCATATTTTTCGTTTAAAGATTAAATAATAAATAAACTTATACTTTGTAAAGCTTCTCTATCTGACTTATTTAAGATCGATACGTCTAAGTTTCACATTAAAATTAATTATGATCACGTCAAAGACTTTATTTATAGCCAATATCTAAGTTACTACTTGATAATATAATATTTAAATATTTAGTTATATTATATTAGCTACACGTGTATTTAAATATGTATTCAAATATTGAAAATTGATTATAACATATTTCATGCCGTCGTTATTATTTGAAACTTCGTAATTATGTGAAATCTGAATGTGAAACTCTTCAATGGCTACTGGTAAAACATTTGAATTTGGTTTCATTTAATTGTTTTGACATAATATGAAAAAATATATGGAATATTACAGTTGGTGAATGGCGCCGTCTTTAAAGTTATTTTTTGAATCATAATTATTAAAAATTTGATTTAGTATTTTCAGTTATTGTTACTTGACGACACGTTAGGCCCAGTTTCTAGTGACCCTACTTGCTATGCTATGCCATTTAATCGAAATAGGCCGCGGCTTCGAGTCCCGCCGCAGGTATTCATTTGTGTGACGAGCACCAATGTTTGTACTGAAGTCATAAGTGTTTATATTTATAATATGTATGTATTTAAAGTTATATATTTGTAGCGTATCAACTATCTTGTATCCATAACACAAGCCTCGTGCTTACCATGGAAATAAATAGTGATGTGTACTTAAGCAATTTCTTAAAATTGGCACTTTCAACCCCATTCATATCTAAAAAACACTCAATGTAACTGGGATATTCCTAGTTATTAAAAGTTGTATTTAATTTTATTTGTTTCGTATGGTTCACATAAAACTTAAAAGTACATTTTTCAACACATACTTTGGCGAGTACCATTTCGCTATACCAAAATGATTATCTAAACAATGAAGTTCAATCAACTTATTATACTTATAATATAAATTTAAAATAATATAAGGATTGGTAGCGTAGCATATTGTAGGAATATTACTGATCTATTGTGTAAGTTATAATAATATAAAATAAATAAATAGCATAGCTTAAACTATAATATTTATATTTAACGTTTTATTGTACAAGTTTTTTTATTAAAAACGTTTTGAGTTTTATAAATTGACATACTGGGTAGTAAGTACATTACTATGTAAGTAAGATAATTTCCTGGATCCTTTAAACATTTGGCGAGCCGCGTGTAATAACTCTTTAGCTCCTGTAATTAACTAACGGTGCAAACTAGATTGTACCGTTTACTATCGTGCATCACTTCATTTCTTAGTTCTTACTACACAATGTAAACCTAAAATTTGCACTGTAAATTTGCAAGTGTAAATATTAAAAGTATTAAAAAAATTTTATATTATATAAGGGTTTTTGAAGTTATACTTTTTTTGGCACGTTTGGAAAAAATATGAGAGTGAAATTTTTACGATGCGCGCGCACGCCGACAGCCAAAAAGTGATGATGAAGTTAGCTGAAAGCGACATGATGGAGTTAGCTGCATTCCTTTTTGAAAGTTGTTACATACAGAATGAAATCTTTAGCTATTTTTGTTGATTTATTAAAAATCCTGAAATATGTATTTTATTATTTATAACACGAAGTCCCTATATCAATTTTCAGACCTCTAGCATCTTTCATCTTTGTGGAAGACTGATACAAACTTCCATCCCCTAGTTTAAAGGGTTGGAGAGTATAAGTTCCAAGTTTTAGAACTTTTTTGTTGTTTATGAACTAATACTAGCTTACATACCAAATTTCAGCTTTCTAGGACTTCAGAAAGTACCCTAAGAATTTTGATGATCATCAGTGAGTCAGTGAAAAAATCTGAGTTTTTTAGATACCAATGAAATATAGAGTATAAGAGCTATACAATTGAAACTTTATATGTTTAATAAGCTCACTATTGACATCATATCCCGAGTATTTTGTTTATCTGGTATAATCCAAGCCCAAGTTATGAAGGCCCAAAAAAACAACGAAGCGCTTCCAGAAAAGATAGATAATGCCCTAGCGCTCCGCTTGGCTCGTCTTGGTGGGGGCACTACCGTGCCCGCAGATAAAAATTTGGGAGCAATAAAACGCGTTTAGTCGATTTAGCAATTTATCTATTATATTCAACTAGTTATGAAATAAAATACATATTATATTACTTACTAGATTTTTAAATAAAAATAAGTATCTTGACAACGAACATAAAAGATAAAAGGTATATTAGGATTTCTAAAAAATATTATATTGGTAGGTACTTTTATTTGTCATCCATGGTAGGTACTAGTAGTTGAAGGATGTATTGGAGTCAAAACAATCCTTTCTTAATTGTTAATTTCATCCATAAATAGGAACTAGAAATACACTTTCAACTTTTTCACACGAAATGTTGTTTTAATTTTAATTGAATTTCAAACAAAATGAAAAAAAATCCATCCACGCTCTAGAGATTTACAATTTACTGAGTATCATAGTGATTGCGACACCTGGTGGGATAAAATGGCAAAATCCTTCCCCATTGGATCAGAGCGTTAATCAATCCGGTAGGAAGGTACCTTTTTTCTCTCATGGAAATGAAACAACATGTGTGTGGGTAATCACCCAATGTCACGTACTATTAATAGTAATACGGAAAAACAAACTTCGATTTTTTATGTATCCGTTGTACATATATTATCTATATTTATATATCAACACCATTATGAAATGGAGAATAATTAACTTTATTATCTGTACAAAAGAAAAGCTGTCAATAAATTGTCAATGTCATTAGAATGTGTCAAAATTCAAAATCAAGTTTTTAATGGGATCGTTTTCAAGTAAAGCTGCATCAAAAATGGCAGGTTCTGCAGAAGTTCAACAGTTTATCAAGGAAGCTATTTCTCAAGAAAAAGTAGTTGTGTTTTCAAAATCCTACTGTCCTTATTGCAAATTGGCAAAAGACGTAAGTATTTATAATCAATGCAAGTTTAAGGTTATGGAATTGAGTTACGAATAAAATTTGTTTGTAATATCATAAAACTTTAATAAAATAAAAAATCGTAATTTAACGAATAAATTTTCTTCATAATGACTTTTGAATGCTAATGTACCATTACTCAACGAAAAATACAGGTAAATTACTTACTGATGAAAATGTCTAGAATTAAAATCAACAAATATTGTAAGGTACTTTGAAGCATTATCTTGAAACATTTGAAGCACTGTCTGTAACAAGTATAGGTATAACGCCTTTGAGACGTCTGAAACCTTTAACCTTAGTCTCTTCTGTGACCATGATTGCTGTAAAGCATTCGAAACGAACCAAAAATTTGGTTTTTGGTTCTCGACGTCCGTCTGGACTAAATCCGCGAAATAATCCGAAAAGATAGTTTTATTTTAAATGTCAAATATTCTCTTAAATCTATGACGGTATTACTTACTGAATTTGAAACAAGAGAAGAAGTTCAAATCCACAAAATAACATCACATCCGATATTAGAATTTAACGAAATTAAAACTTAAAATTGTTACACATTATATTTGTTATTTTGCTTATTCATGTTTGATAATTAAATACTTTTTTCCCTTACAGAGCAGTTCTACAATATCTCTTCTGATTTTCTTCTGTGCATAAATAAAAAACATAATAATAATTATATTCCAGGTTTTTGAGAAAGTTAAACAACCAATAAAAGTCTATGAGCTTGATGAACGCAATGATGGGGCTGCTATTCAGGACAACCTAGCGGAAATTACTGGGTTCAGGACAGTAAGTAGTAATTTAAATATACTTACTATTTTTTATACACAAATCGTTTTTTCCCATTCTTTATGGGAAATAGAAACTGTAATAACTTACAACCTGTTACAAATTTTGCATGAGTCCATTTGCATTTTATTCCAATATTTTAAAAAAGTGTCTTAATATATAAAAAAATATGTTTTATTACATATCTCTATGCATGAAACATCTTGATATATTTATCATTCCGTTTTGTAATATATATTATTTATACTAGATTTTTAAGACTTTCCTGGTAGGTAGATTGTGTTTCTCTTGTAAACAGCTAAGCAATTATTTAGTCAAATTGTGAGAGGTATATATAAGGGTACCTATATAGGATATATGAGGGTTAGCACTCCATTCATGTAACTGAAGGATGAAAAAAAAACAAGTGTGTGGGTCTGAATAAGTTTTTAAAATTAGATAGATACATGTTTCTAAGAGACTTTTATCTAAGCTAATTGTTGCGAAGTTTTATTCTTCTAATATAGAACTAACAAAATTATTTTTTCTATCAATAAAATTAATTTTGTAGATGGGTAAATATTTTATTAACAAAATAAATTGTGTGTTGAAACATATTGTAAAATGTTTATGTTAAATAACTCTTGATGAGTGAGTCAGATTTGCACTTGCCCTTTATTAATGACTATAGTCTGTAGGTAGTTTTTTTTTCAGAATATACAATAACTCTACAACTAAATATAGGTATAATTAATGCTAAAAGGAAAGAACTATTGTTATTATAGACATAAAAAATATTTAGATAAATTTGCTCTTATCTTCATTGAACTATAATAAGATGTAATTAAAAAACCCGTCTTATTCATTAGTATAGAGATAATGGGGAATCCATAAAGTAATATATATTTTTCCTGATTCTAAAGTTGATTAATTGTTCTATTTATCAGTATGACTACTATTTCATATATTTATAATACATGGTGCAACATTTACTCAATCAAAATCAATTTATGTCACAAATAAAAGCATATTTACATTATATTTTTCACAATAATTACAATTAGGTATCTATAAATAAATTGTATCATTTATATGTTGACCACAACCGTATCGTAGAATTAACATTATGTAAATATATACATATTAAAATAAAAACAGTAGGTATAAACCTAAGTGTGCAATATTTTTAAATTTTGTTACCTACTAACATTATTAAAATAATGCACCTAAGAATAACTTTTGAACTATAATGAAATTGGTTGGATTAGGTTTCCATAGTAACCGTTGTTATTGTCTGATAAATGATATAATATATTATCGACTCACCCTCACTCTGCTCGGGTTCGTCCCTAGGTAAGTTTTGACAGTATGGGTTAGATAGACTATGTGCAATGTACATATACATAGGTATGATGAGTCCTATATACCTTTCTAGAGAAATGATTGATTCCCCATGCAAATCTCTTAAGGAATAATTCCGGGGTAAAAACTATCTTATGTCCTTCCCAAGATTTCAAACTATCTCTATACCAATTTTCATCTAAATCGGATCAGCCGTCTAGTCGTGAAAAGGTAACAAACAGAGTTACTTTCGCATTTATAATATTAGTAAGGATTTGTTGTAGCGTCAATAGAAACATACTGGCTGAGTCACTAGTAATTAAAATAAATAAAATAAAAACACAAGAAACATTTTTTTAACATACGTAATCGATCATCGAAGTTAATATACTACATACATACAGTAAAAGTCATATTCATAGAAAGTACATGTACGATGGTACGGAACTCTTCGTGTGCGGATTCGACTCGCACTTACCCGATTTTTTTTATAAAAATATAGGTAAATCTCGTGACAAGCTTGTGTTGTACTAATTTGGCGTGATGCGAAAAAGCAGTAGCAGAAAATATAAGTAGTTGTTATTCGTGTTTGTGCGCCAAAGTGCAGGATTATGCTCTGTAATTGCAAAACAGGGTTTATATTGTATAAACTGTGTAATGTAATAAACGATGGGTTTCATTTAATTTAAAGATTTTCTTTTTTTAGAGTATTTAAATGAAAAGTTGTTTTTAAAAGTGTTTCAATACTATTCATTTATCGCTGGACTTGTTTTTAAGTCTGTTTATTTCATTTAATGCGTAATTTTTGCACGGTCGTTTGCCTGATAATTTAGTGGTCTAGATCTTAAAATTGGTAAGGCGGCCATCTTGTTTAGTGTCATTTTGATTTTTTTTCAGTAGGTACCGCTAGAATTTGCCTAGAGTGTATGTCGATATAAGTTAAGACACAACCCCGCTACCCGGGCCGTAGTAAACCATCTCCTCGAAGAGCTGAAGGCGGACGTCATTTTACATTTTATTCTTATTCTTCTCAGGAAACCCTTTAGTTTCATATCTATATCAAAGGGGTGCATAAAACAAATGGTCCGCCATCTTAGAGAGGCCGCCATAAAAAAATTCGTTGGCTTACTATTACAAGGTTCTATGTTAATTTTAATGAAGTTTAGTAATTTTTACATAGAACTTCGTTATTTTGTTATCGTAAAAAAAACAACATAGAACTATGTAAAATTAAATATTTTGTAGTTATAGTGCCGCTATCTAGTGGTTTGTTTTTGCAAAACTGTTACTAATGACACATAGAACCTTGTAGCATTAATAGCTAAATAAGTACTAAAATTGTAACATAGAACCTTGTAATAGTGAGCCAGCCAAAATACCAAATTAAACGTGCAAAATTTCAGATTAATCGGTTGAGAATAACTGCTTTAAAATTCAATTGCATGATTTGACCCGAACAAACATACGAACATTGCAAGTTAAATAAAATTAATATATTTTATTATTAAAAAAATATATTTTGATTATATACTCATAACTTTTATTTTTTAAGGTACCTCAAGTATTTATTAATGGCAACTGCATTGGCGGTGGATCTGATATCAAAAATTTATACGAGTCTGGGAAATTACAGCCTATGCTTATTGGATAAATAGTTTTTGTAAATAAATGAAATAAAGTACACAAAACAAGATATGTTTAAATTACTATATGAATTTTAGAGGAGCACTCATTGCTTGCTACCATTGCTCTTTATCGTTACAAGGTCTGAGTTGAAAGATAATAAATAGCTATATCGTAAATATATTTTTGTTAAAATCGAATTTGTTTACTAATAAATAATGCTTATTTTTATTTCAGTTATGTAATAAATATTTATTAAAATATGTTTGTATTTTGACTTAAACATAAAAATATTTTATTCTTCATATCGAATTTAAATACCTTCTTCCTACCGAAATATTTAATTCAAATATTGGTTTTGATACGAAAGTTTGTGATTGAGTGTAAAGCATTCGCTGTTTTGTTAGTTTACGCTATAACGGCTTAACTGATTCGAAATTAGCTTACTGAATGAAATTAATTATTTAGAATGAAGAATCTCCAGTGTAACATATAATATGCTACTTTTTGTTGACATACCCCCGATGCTAATGGGGAAGATTTCTCGAAAGGAGGACGCCACATGTATCGCCTGTTTATATTCAGTCCGAGGTTAAGCAATTTATTGTGATATCTTTTTTATACTTGGTTTTGTGCTTCTATTGTGTTCGCATCTTATGTGTGCAATGTATTATACCTGAAAGTAAGACCAGCTGAAGGAAGAATCGATAAGGAGAGTTGTATCATGCGGTGGTTCTGACTATAGATGTAAAACAGCCGATTTAAAACGTTTTAAATAAAATGTTGCCATTTTAAACCCCAAATAAACCGATTTAAGTGGTTGAAAACTCGCCTACAAAAATAAAAGAACTGTGTTTTACACTTCATTGTGGGCAAGTTTTGGTCATCTGAAGTCATGTTTCGTTTTAATTAGTTTATATGGAATGTAAAACGGCTATAAATATCTATTTTTTTCTATAGTCATCCATGCCCTGAACGTCATCTATGCTCTGAAGTTTGTCAGTCGACAGTTTGACACTTGTGACTTGTGAGTGTCGTGACTTGCCAATGTCATTGACATTGTCTTTGGTCATTAAACCGGCCATTACCTAGTACCTACTCTGAATTCTTGATTTCTGTTTTAAATGGGCTGAGTTGATACGGCGGCAATCATTAAATACTAATCACTGTTTTCAAGTAAAGTTGTGTAGCTATCAGAATGGCGAGCTCTGCAGATATCCAAAAATTTATTAAGGAAGCGATTTCCCAAGACAAAGTAGTTGTATTTTCAAAATCTTATTGTCCATATTGCGTACTGGCTAAAGAAGTAAGTGTAAAATTTATTTAGTAATTATTAGGTTTTTAAATTCTGTGTTTAAAAGAACTACTTTCTGCATATACATTTAAGAGTTTTACTAATATGCTTTTTTAGAGTTGATGTAAATAAATATTAATATTATATTGCTAATAAATCTATTTAAAATAACTAATAAAATATACATTGCAGGTTTTCAAAAAAGTTCAACAACCAATAAAAGTTTACGAACTTAATGAGCGCAATGATGGAGATGCTATTCAAGATAACCTAAGAGAAATTACTGGTTTTAGAACAGTAAGTAAGAATGTATATTCAATCTCGTAGACAACATTATAAATTGAAAAATTAAGAAAGCCAAGTAAAATCATGTACCTACTTAGTTAAAATTTGCAATTTACAAATTTACTTAATAATATAATTCATGTATGGGTAATTTTGATGATGTCATTTTAAATTATGATGCAATATTTTGATCAAATCATTTCAATCATTTGTTTTAAATAACACATAGATGACTATTCACCTTATTACAGTGCTATAAGTGCATTGGGAGTAGTTTAATTATGCTGATCATTTTTTGAGATTATATATCTGTTTTTGTTGAAAGTAATAAGCATTTAGTCATCAATGTGAGTAAGAGCTGATATCAATAATAGATATCAAATCAAAAATACTACTAGGGAAAAATAGTTTGTCCAATGTATCTACTACTTATTACCTATACTAATATTATAAACAGGTAAAGTTTGTGAGATTGTGAGTTTGTGATGTTGTAGGGGGTAATCTCTGGATCTACTGAATTAATTTAGATAAAATTTGATTATTACTTTTAGTGTGATGGTTAGTAACATAGGATACTTTTTATCCCAGAAATAATCCCTTAAGGGGGTGAAAATGGTGACAAAATTTGTACAGGAATTAAGTTAGGGATGAACCCGAGCGAAGCGAGGGTGAGGTGCTAGTCTGAAATATTTTCTCTATCCATTTTTTTTTAGGTAAGAGAATTTATGACACCTTAATTCATATTTACTTAACATTATGGATGTTCAATATACATTTTTGGATATATTTTAATTTTGGTTGCTTTGCAATTTGATGATGAATTTTTAAAGATCTTCAAAAAATAAAATGAATAGTAAAAATATTTTTTTTTCGATATATAGTTTTGCTTTAAAGATATTGATACTCAAAATCGAAAAAACTGAAAAAAGAGTATAGTTTGTTTTGGTGGAGGGTAGTTACTGATACCCCGAAGTTAGAGAGAGAGACCCACCAAAATCAAAATGCCAACAAACACAGCCACCTAACTGTTACTTTAGTACAATGAATTCAATTAGTTTAATTACAAATTATTTTAGTTTTCATGGTCACTGAAAGTTATTGATAAGCAAACAAAAATATGTGGTACAATAACACATTTTCTCATTTTTTTACATTTTATTTATGCTAATTATATTTTTATTTTAGGTTCCTCAAGTTTTTATTAATGGTAAATGTGTTGGTGGTGGCACTGATGTCGAAAACTTATATAAGACTGGAAAGTTGCAGCCAATGCTTATTGGGTGAAATGATTTTAAGAATAAATAAAACAAAATAATATTTAGCTCTAATTTTACTAAGATTCAACTGTGATGAAAGATATTACATAGCCTATTGCAAATATATTTTTTGTTAAATTTAACAATTTTGTCATATATTGAAAATTCTGCCTAAATAAAATGTTCTAATAAATGATTTATACATTTTTTTTTTTTTTATTTACACCCTAAAATATTAAAAAGATATATTTTATTATTCCTATAGAGAAATATTCGCAAACATAACATTATTTAAATCTAAGCAATGTGTTCGTAATAATTATGTAAATAATGCAAAGTCTGCTAACATTTCCCCTTGACAGCCATGAGGGCTAAAATCGGTCCGAATTAATTCTAGAGATTTCGCCATAAATCCATCAGAGGAAGTCTTCTCTCCCCTCCCTAAACGTTTTATTACGCACACGGGATGAAAACATCAGGCTCACTCAAGGCCACTACGCGCAGGCGAGGGGTTTCTAAACGTACCGTACGCGAGCGGTCCCATCGTATCTCCTATGTCATTGATAAAAGCTCCCTTTTTGCGTAACGCGTCGAAAATATCCCATGGTGTAATTGGTGCGAAAGGGATAGGGATGTTACCCTCGACCCTAGCTATAGCCGCCCTAGCATTTCGCCCGCCCGCCACTAGTCGGCGCTTGTGTGCCCGCCCTAACAACACGCTTTAATATCTTATTTTGTCTTGTGTAAACAAACAGTTTTATGTATGAAATTGTTTTTACAAATGCGTTTATCAGTTTCATAGTGGTTAATATGTTTGAATTAATAGCGAGTAATATAAAATTTGTTGGGTTGTGCATTGAAAAGCGGGAACGGAGAAGCTCAAGGTGAGTAGGTACAATAACGTTTTGGTAATCAGCTTATAGTTACTAACGCTAGGGCCATGTGCTTTCCAGTATTAAAGCGGGAATATTAAGCTTTCTATTATGAGTTTAGATCATTTGAAGTTGTTAATGTTTACATTATATTGACATGAAAGTAACTAGGTAAGAACACATATTTTTACAAAGTCCTTAAGACAAGTATTTACAACACATTGAATAAATCTCTTGTAACTTGTTATCGATTCGGATGCTGTAAGGGATTTCGCTAACGGCTAATTAATTATAAATGTTTAAAATAAAGTATCTTTTTAAACTGTAATTTTCTAAATCCGTTTTATGATATCTAAAATAACTACCTGTTTACAATATTGTAATTTATAGTAACGACCAAACATAACACCAAGGTCCAAGACCTAGCTAATTGTGTAAGAGATCGACAAATGTATTAATACCAAATAAAATGATAGTAATTAAAAATCTGTTATATTAAAAGTTTTAATAGGTACTGCTTTTGAAGATTTTTAAAGGGTGATAAATCATACTACGGAAGTATAAGTAAAACAATAGTTTGGATGAAGTTCACGAACCTAAGTACCTACTGAGACACTTCAAACATAAAACCGCAAACCGAATTCATTTCTAATTTAATGTAAAAGCTAGTTTATTTTATCCGTTTATTTTTGAAATTGCTACGCTTTGATGGGTCGTAGACCGTAGCGTCGTATAAGTACATATTTTCTTCCAATCGGCAAGCAATTTAATTCCAAATGTTTGCACGAAAACAATCTGGAACAAATAAAACTTCAGTTAAGATAGATACTTTATTGCACACATAAAAGAATTGAGTACAAAACACGAAAAACAGAAAGAAAACCTATAGTAGGTATGCCTATTAATAAGATATTAAGTGTGTTGGCTTGGCTACATATAATTTTATTTCTTCTAAAAAAATAATCATTTTTTTAGTAATTCACATCCGTGATTAATCGTTATGCTTTAAATATACACGTAGAAAATAGGTAATATATATAATAAAAAATCTGTTAGATATAATAAATAATAAGTCTATTTATTCGTAGGCTAAATAGAATAGATACTAAAAGATAAACGTTTGTAATTAACGCTTTTTTTAATACCAAATTCATTAAAACCTTCTTAACTAATATTTTTGTGTAAAAAATTTTTTCAATCATGTCTACATTTATATTGATACTAGCATTGACCGCGGCTCCGCCCGCGTTCGGACTACTAAAAACCAAATTCTTAGGTTTTACATATTAGTATACTCTTACATTGCCGTTTTTGTATTTTTTCTCAGTAATGAGATATTTTCCCGCGGTAAAAAGTATCCTTTATGTTGACCCAGATATCCAGCTATCATCATAAGAAATTTAATGAAATCTGCCCAGTGGTTTTCTCGTGATACGGTAACAGACAGACAGACAAAAATTCTAAAAACTATAGATTCTGCCTCTGTATTGATAATAATGTCTATTTCAATTAGATTTAAAAAAAAATATTGAATATACAGATTCGACTTAGTTACAATTTTATTATATGTATAAATTAGACGTGATTTTTCCGTATCACCATTGATAATATCGAATGTGACGATGCAATATCTATCATCTTATTCATGAAATACTTACATTCAATTTGTATTACAAAAGAAAGAATTGGAATGCAATTCGGATAGTCTAGGGGGGTGTTTGGCGGGAAAGGCGTCTAGCAAGGGGTTGCTACCGGCAATATAAGGCGGGCGGAGGTTCACTTCGTGTCAGAGCGCCTATAGCTGCCGTGGAGGCAACGTAGCGACGCCGCGTACTGTGCTACGTTAGACTAAACTTCTCGATGCGTAGTGATTAGATGTTAGTGATGGACTAAAGATAGTTGAAGCGAATTTTGTTGCTAGTTTGTTGGTAAGAATAGACATGACCAACTATTTTGTTCATAGTTTTTGATGTTTTATGTTACTTAGCTTGATTTTGATTTTTAGCACTTACCGCTTGTTTAAACCAAAAGGAAAATAACATCATGTGCTTTTCCGTAACAGGGAGAACACAGTTTATTTTATTCCGTTCTCCTTCCTAGTCATATTGCGAGTTGTTTAAAAGTAACTGCTATAAACATTTTTTCTCTCAGACAGAATGGAACCCCCGACCTCCAAAGTGGAGTACTGTATATTCCATTACAATGGTCTTAAACTATAATGAGCTACCTATTAGTGCTATTGAGTTACTTCGTCAGTTCCTTTCATTACTACGGTATTTTAATTTCAGTAAATGATGAGAATTTAGGAACTTACATTTATTCAGGCAAAGAGTAAAATAATTGTAGATACGAAAACTTAATATGTATATGAGCCTACTTAATATTATGTTAAATATGTGTATTCAATGGCAATTTGTATAAAAATCTACCGAGTTTGATAACAGCAATAAATCTTGAAAAGAATTCTACAAAGCAAATTTATTTAAAATATGAGTAACAATTTTTATTAAATTTTTGGTGTAGGTAATATCTGCCTATTTATAACGTAACATCCATTACTTTACAATAGAATTTTTTCATCTCGGCATTAATCATCTCGGCGTGATCATTTTCCGTGTCACATATACTGTATTGCGCTTTACTGAAACCTCAGCTCATATTAAATGAAAGCATCATTTAAAAATGAAAAATATTTTTCAGGGAAATGTTAAAAAATTATTTTCATTTACACTTTAGAATAATTCCTGTAACATTATGAACTGCGGTTAACAGTTGTATAATAAAAATTCAAAGTAATATTTATTATAATTATAATTTCTTTACTTCTCTGCTTAATCAAACTTTTTGGTTACATTGTTTGTCCAAAACTATTGTTCTTCTTAAAAGCAATAAGCTTCTACAAACTTCCCATACGCTTTATTTTTCTCTTTAAGCATGCGATGGCCGTTAGTATTTAAAATATACGTGATTTTTATAACGTGGGTAGAGTGGCTTATACGCCGGCAAAGTTGAGACGAAGCTTGACAAAAAAAATATAAAAAGCCGCTTATTCTCTTGCATGTCAACAAACTTTGCTGTGAGTAGACGGCACTCGAGTTCGTATGTGTTTATTAATAAGCGGAAATTATAAGTTTATTTTAACTGAAAATATCTCGACAGACAGCCTGCCCAACCATCTATAAAGAAGGTCTAACATTTTTTTTCGCTTAAAACACTTTTAATACATATTTTTTTACCCTACCCTACATGTTTCATGTTAACCTTAATCTATGGATATTAAAAAAGAAAAAGCTGAAACCAGTGGATTGCAAAATACTTTATAAGATGATGGCTTACAAAGGAAAATATTGGAACACGTTAATATTTTATAAGGGGCATAAATTCATATGTATATTGGAATTTTCTGTTACCAGTTACTCAGTTTAAGCCCTTAACAAACAATTTAAATTCATTTATTAATCTGGCGTTCCCCGTGAATTTCAAACTTATTAATCAAGCACTTCAACAAGCCTTTGCGAAATCCAAAGTATTCTGGAATTACAAAGTTTTGATGGAAAAATGTATTAATTAAACGCCGCAAATATGTCTGAGAGACGCTCATCAAAAATGTATAGAATTCGTATGATTTGCATAAAAGTCATTTTATTGCCTCGAAAGACAAACAGAATGGGATATTAGCTGGAATGAATCCAGCGATGCGGTACTGCGGCGAGTACCTGCGATCGCGGTCCGACAACGCGCTTACTATAGGCCAACTTGACACTTGACGATTATTGCCTATAAAATTATTCAAAGGGTATCGTAGGCAGCAACATTTTCACTTTTTAATTATAGAAAATAGACTACCGAAACAAAAATTCCCAATATACAAATTGGGGAATTTACCCATCGGGCATTGATATAGTAATTATTTATTATATGTATAGATAATACGTCATCATATAGTAATTATTTATTGATTATATGTTATTATTATTGGTAGTCTATATATAATTTATTTTCAATGGAATAATAAGATTAACGGAAAAATCCTTTCATAAAATGAGGGGATAAGAGCCATTTATTATTTTTTTGCTCATTTTTAATTATGTTTGTCGTCCGCCTTAAGAATATTGAATGACGCGATGAAGTGTTCGGAAAGAATTCAATGAGCTTGCGATAATTATGTCGAGCTACTTCGTAGCCATTCGTTAATTCTTCAATAAATATTTATGAGACGTTAAATTCTTTGTACCTATAGCCAGGCAAAGTATATATACCTGAATTTTCTTTTTTTTTGTTTCAGATGTTAAAACGGACGTTCAGACGTATTGTAGAGAATAGATAGCTTCGCTTAGGTTTAGAAAGTAATAGTACAAACCATTCGAACTTATCTTTTTAGGAAAATGGCTTCATAGGTAGTTTCTAGGAGTAGCGAGCTCGTAACGTAAAATAGACTTTTGCAAACAGGCTATAAATTAGACTGAGATAGTGTTATCATTGGGGAGTTTTATAGAAGAAAACAATGCCAGAGGCTCTCATAAAGCATCGATATCTCGGCCGTGAGTGTTGGGTAGTGTAGGCTAGGGGGTCACGTTGTAGTGGTAATGTGTGAAGATAAGGAAGAGGCTAGAAGTGAGGCGGCGGCGGCGGTCACTCCCAAACGTCTTTGCTGGCCAAAGAAATCCCCCGCCCCTTTACCCGACACGAGAGGGCTTTGCTGTGCTAAACTACTCAGAAAAAATGGAAAGGCGAAAAAGGTAAGACATTTTTTAAAGATATTTTTACTGAAATGCAAATAAAAATGAATTAATATGAGTTCACCCAAAAAATATTACTTCCAAATTAAGTTACGTATTTTATATAAATAACACTGCATTTGATTAGATAATTTATGAAAGTCCAAAATTTACGACTGAGTTGCGCATATCAGACTAGGATCCTCCATATTTCAAGGTAGAGCGCGTTTAAGCCTTATAATCAAAGTTTAAACTGAAATTCGGTCACGGCGGTTAACTAACCGTACTTAAGGAATTGACTAAGTACCTATCTATAATATGTATCAACTTTGTAAACGAAATGTTGGAACTGAGGAAGTAATTTATAAGTCGAAGTATTAGGTGTAGATATTTCCAAACTTATTACGAAGTTAAGTTTTGAAATAGGCAAGATAATACTATGTATAAAGCGTTAAAGATCATAAGTAGTAGTGCAAATAAGTTTCTAGGAACTTTCGATCGAATTAGTTTCCGCTGACATCGCGTGCGCCTTCAACTTTGATTAACCGCCCTGAGGCAAACAAATGAATGCGAAGTGAGTAGGCGCTCTGCGCTCATCAGTGTTACCATATTTTAATTAGGTAATTTTACTGGTATTTTGTTAAAGATACTGGTATTGGTGTTTTTTTTGGCTGTAAATTTCAGTGCAATTTTCGATTAAAATGCTGTTAGAGTGCGCTGATAAGATTTCAAGAAATATTAATTTGATGAAGCACTAAAATATAATTTAGTAGAGCAAATTTAATTTAAGCTGCAAAAATTCTTGTCCCCCAGTAAGAGCGACGAACTAGTAAGTCTAGGAATAAATTGAATTTAACAGGACAGATGTAAAAAAAGTATTTTCTTTGAATCAAACAGCATCCCCGAGTGGCTGCACTGTTTTGCAATTCTAAGCTCACCAAAGAGGTTTCAATCTTACTAATGTGTCTGTGATATATGTGGGACTATCTAAGTTATATCTGTTTGAAATTCCAAATGCATTAGACGCCCTGTCGATATTTATTTAAGACTGTTTCCGAGATACAACTCAATCTTTACCCTTTTAGTACAGTGTTGCTGTAACACTATTTTGAAATAATTTAACTAAAGAAGCGAAATTTTGAACTGCCCAACAAATTGTTATTTTTTATATCATGATGATTGGTGTTCTGTCGTGGTCGAAAAGTCTCAATCGAGAAGCAATGACTCGTGTAAATTAAAGATATAATGAAAATGTTTTTAATATATGGCTTTAGGTTTAGATTATCTATACATATGTATAATAAAATTGTATCTAGTCGAATCTGTACATTAAATATTTTTTGGAAAATCTAATTGAAATAGACATTACCTATTATCGATACAGAGTCCGAATCTATAGTTTTTAGAATTTTTGTCAGTCTGTCTGTCTGTTACCGCGTCACGAGAAAACCACTGGACAGATTTTGATGAAATTTAGTATGGTGATAGCTGGTTAACATATAGGATACTTTTAACCACGGGAAAATATCTCATTTCTGAGAAAAAATACAAAAACTGCATTGTAAGAGTATACTAATATGTAAAACCTAAGAGTTTGGTTTTTGGTCATCTGAACGCGGGCGGCGCCGCGGGCAGTGCTAGTTACATATAAAAATAGTTATTTAGATTTATAAAATTACAGTATTCAGTGAGATTAATCGTTGAACACTTAATGTATGAGCTTAGACAATTTTACATAAAAGGTAGCATATATTTCAAAGATTTATTACATTTCCTAACTCTAAGGGCGAGTCATAGATTGCATTACACGTAACTTTATGACAAAGTTCTACTTTTAGCTAAAATAATGCTTTATAATTTTGTCAAACGCTTAATTTTCTTCAGAAAACCGTATTTTAGTAAAGATAGAGCAGTCATTACTGGTTTCTTTGGAATTAAATAAACTCTAAATCTAGTATCCCAATCAAAATTATGATAGAGGAAATTATTTAAAACTAGCGACTCACCCTTGCTTCACTCGGGTTCATGCTTGTGTGAGTCTTTAAATTAACAGAACTATTTTATTTATGAACCGATTAAAAAAACAAATACTTAATGTTAAGTAAAGCACGTACAAACGGACAGACAAACAGACAAAAAATCTAAAACTCATTGTTTCGGGTTCTATTGCGTTAATAAAGATCCCCCAATAATAGTTTTTATCAAATATCTTCCATGTACCGAGAGCGATCATTTAGATTAAGGTTATTAGACCTATAAATATGTCGTATGGATATATCAACCATATAAACGACTGAGATACCAAAATTATTGAAAGTAAGCTTCAGAATATAAAGTTCACTTTGCAGAGACAACTTTAACATACAGAATACTAGACAAAGAGACAGACAAAAATTCTAAAAACTATAGATGCGGCCTCTGTATCGATAATAATGTTTATTTCAATAAGATTTCGCAAAAAATATTTAAGGTACAGATTCGCCTTAGTTACAATTTTATTATAAGTATAGATAATAATAAAATAATTATAATAATTTCTGATCTTTAGATTAACTTATGAATACAATACTATAAGCCTAATAACATCAATAAATTCAACACAATTTTATGTAAGTCTATAATATAAAAAGAACAAATTAATTAGAAGCTTTTTTTGACTTACAACATTTGTTCGGTTTTTTGGTTTGTTTTGTTCAAATCAAAAAGCTAACTCTTATTTTGGTCTTTCTAAAGAGCCGAATTCACTTGAATTATTTTTTAAAGAAAATATATTAGCATTAAAATCACCCTAATTTTCCTATTGGAGTACTGGCGACCTTTGAGGGCTTTTTACCTCGACTTGTGCCTCAACTCGTTTATAAAATCCAGTTAAATAATTATATATAAATTTGAATAAACGTGATTATAAGTAATACTTTCGTAGATATACGCGAATATTTGTCATCCATACTTAATATTATAAATGTGAAAGTGTGTTTGTTTGTTTGTCTTTCTTTCACGTCGAAACGGAGTGACGAATTGGCGTGAATTTTTGTATGGAGATAGTTGGAGGGCTGGAGAGTGACATAGGGTACTTTTTACCGCGGGATATTGTCTAATTCCCACGAGAAAATACATTATAATACAACTCAAAAAAAAATTTATTATCAGAATTACTTGAAACTCGGTATTAATTCTCTTCAATACAATTAAATAAATACGTGTTTAAGCATTTTTCGAAATTCATCCCATAAGGGGTTTTCTTTGTACTTTTAGCGTGAGCGAAGCCGCTGGTTCTGCTGGTATTAAATGAGCGTGACCATGATTGCTGTAAAGCATTCGAAACGTCGGGATCCAAAAATCAAAATAAATCCGCCAAAAAAAACAAAAAAATAGTATTAGTTAAAATTAAATAGCTTATTATATTACTTCCCATTACCCGAGATTTTGTGCGAGTGTACTTAAATTCTTATAGCTTATCTTAATTTACATATAAACTGTGAAAATAAGAAAATTTCTTATTCCAATTTTCTAAAATACCAGAATTCCATTACAATATCTAAAATTAGAAATGTCATATTCAAATTTAATGACCAAAAACCAAATTCTTTGGCTTTACATATTAGTATACACTTACATTGCAGTTGTTCTATTTTTTTTCAAAAATGAGATATTTTCCCGCTGTAAAAGGTATCCTATATGTTGACCCGAATAACCAGCTATAGCTATACTAAATTTCATCAAAATTCCCACCAGTGGTTTTTCTGTGATGCGGTAACAGACATACAGACAGACAAACAGACAGACAAAAATTCTAAAAACTATAGATTCGGCGTCTGTATAGATAATAATGTTTATTTCAATAAGATTTTCCAAAAAGTATTTAATGTACAGATTCGGCTTAGTTACAATTTTATTATATGTATAGACTAAAGCTCGTCAATAGCTATTAATAAAATGATTATTTTAATTAATTTAATGTATTTCTAATGTACTCGTATTTTATTTAAAAATATTAGCTTTCAGCTTTACAATAAACAAAAGAGTATATATGCGTGTGTGTGTCAAATACATGGTAGTGTGTGTAATGTTTTTTTTATTGATTTAATGTATTTTTATGCACATATTTTTTTTAAATATTAGCATTCTGCACTCCTTCTCGCAATTTTCGTAAAAAGGGTTCGGGTTTAGTACAAAGCTTTTGCTACACGTACTAATATATAGATTTTTTTCTCGGTAAATATATAGATAAAAAATTAAATTGTTCCATCCATTTACATATTAGTATTAGATAATGTTAATATATTCGATTCTTGGTAGGGTTAAGAACTAGTCAGTGAATAAATCAATAACTTTACTTAAGAATTTCTATTTAAATCATATTTGAGAACAACACAAAGACTTTCAAGTGTAGTACAATTAAACTCAAATCGACAAATAAATCACGTAAATTCAGTAGGCTTTCTAAATTCGCCGTTTGTTAATGAAGCTTTGCATAATAATGGATACTAGAAATTTGATTAGCCCTCTTAAAAAGTGCCGCGTTTCTAATTTGTAATTAAAAGTATTCGGAATTCTTTGTTTTAACTCACTGCTCGCAATTCGTTTAAATGTATTTCCTTTTAGCTGTTTCAGGACTATGTTCAAAAAAGAAAGCGTGTTTGTTGCCAATTTTCGTACAAAAAAGAATATATTATTCGTCTCGATTGTAATCAATTGTGTAGTACACGGGACACGGGATATTTTATTGTTGATTAACTCCAAAAGTTGTTTGCAGGTTTTTGCATTTTTGCGTTTGAAAAAATGGAACAAAATAAAATGATTAGCGACCATTAGTCTTACATTTGTTATAGAAACTTCTAACTTCTTCACACAACTTAAAACAGCCTACACTGTAGTAAATAGTAGGTAGGTATATCTTCTGTAGCTATATCTGGATTCATGAACCATTTCATGAAATGGTCGAAGATAGCATGAAGTGATCACTTGTACGGTCTGGTCTCCTCGCATCTTCTAACATTCAAGACACGTAAAAATGAAAA